CCCAGGGGAAAGTTAAACTGTCATTGGACCCGCAACGAAATTAATCAGTAGAACATAGGGAGTTTAAAGTTCCTTTTGTGAGAAGCAGTGTTGTCTTTTGTTTATTGTTAATGAATTATTTAATTACGTAATAAGGCCTAAAACCTGTGAAATTAAATAAGTTAATTAAAATAAAAAAAGGACATCAGACTATAGACTAAAGTACTATAGAAGTAAATAAACTCTATCTTTTCCAATCACTATTAACACATTCTCCAAATACATACCTAAATGTAACTGACATAATATATTATGATACGTTACATGATGTATCGTATCACGTATCAGTTTCAATCAACAGGTAAAATATAGGATTCGGTAAAAAGTATAAATATCCTTTATAAATACATATACTTGGACATTTTACACTGCGCTTCTAGTCCCAAACTAAGCAAAGCTTGTATTATGGGTACTAGACAACGGATATAAACATACTTAAATACTTTTTTTTTTGTAAATACATACTTATTATACATAGAAAACACCCAGTCCAATACAAACAAATATGTTCATGCACACAAATGTTTACTTGTACTGTGCGGGAATCGAAAACCCGCTACCTCCGGAATAAAAAGTATACACAAAGATTAAAAAAACATTAGGGGTCCGGCGTCACACACCTGTTGTTGTCACCCCATTTGGTGAGTGCTCAAAAAACTATTTCCTGTGCTGTGCGCTTGAGTTCAGTGACCATTTCTAGTCAATTTCAAAGTCCAAAATTTTATTGGTTTAGATTAACAAAGTAAAATATTACTTACAAATCATCATTAAGAATAATAAAGACTAATAAAAATACTTATTTGTTAATCTTCTTGCGCTGTTTCTGAGAAGAAGTGTGTGAAGTAGTGGTTTGAATCCAAATGAAAATGAATTCTAGCGTTGGCATTCTCTAAATTGACTGGACTAATGAGCTTAACACAGAACGAAGCTGAAAATTAAATTCAATTTCAAGCTTAGATTGCTTATTATTAGTTATTTACCAAGTACAGTACGGCTAGCACGAAAAACTTTCGAGTTCAAATCGTTTGCGTACTCGAATCGCCATCAAAAGATTTAGTAAGAAAACTTCAACAGCGCCCTTGTGAACGTGTCGTAAAGTGAACTTAGTATGAGATGTGGTTGCACGAAACTTATTTTGAGAATCAAAATTGTCACGTTATCGTCTAATTCGAAGATTGAGTATCGAATTTTATCGAGTACGCAAACGATTCGAAGACGAAAGTAGTTCATGCTAGGGGTCTATGATTGAACACGCCAAAAATCTGTCAAACTATACAAAAACACCGGTTATTGTTAAAGTTACAGTTAAAGTAAGTTGGTGCAATTCAGCCGAAGATTTAATTGATTGTGACGGTGCAATGCATCTTTTGTTTATAGCAAAAAGAGCGTATAGATCCATTTAATAGGTTTGCAGAATACAAAATGATAATTAATTACTCTTTTTTCAATCAGTACTGTGTGGAACATAATGTAGAGCAACTATCTCCTCAGTGTTTTTCAACCTTTTTCATGACGCGACCCCTAGTATGAAAATTTTTTTTGCGACCCCCCGACCTTTCGCTTTTTTTTACAAAGATGTCGTAGGGAGGGACCGAATTCTTCAATCTATACAACATTTATGCATTCGCATAATTAGATTTCGAATAAATCTAGCTTTAAAACTTCTCTGATTTTTTACTGAGGTAGTTTTTACGAGCTCTCGCGACCCCCCTAAAGAGACCCACAGGTTGAAAAACACTGTCCTAACCTATCAACCATTATTGTCAAGATAGAGTTCAGTCAATTTAAAAATGTAAACACAATTAAATCCAATCGAGTAGTAATGCGAATCGATACTCGATTCACGTTTTGTTTTGCAACTACTGAATGGGTGATTTACAACGCTCGGTAGAGTGCGGCAAAAAGTGTTAGATCACAAAACAATTACGTTTGACCTTGCTTTGATGTAGGTTCGACTACTTTTTGATCGATCGTAGTACAAACTATAGACTTGACTGTAGTTTATACTATGATTATAATTGTAATAAAACTAAAAATGTAGGCATGTGAAGGAAAGGTGTTCCTCGAAGCGCACCTATATTTATAGAGATTTTGAATTGTCTGTCTATTAATAAGAAAAAAAGTACCAGGGAAACATAATAGTGCGCTTTGAAAAATAGTTTAGGTCCGCTTCATTTGGTGCGCCTCAAAATGGGTGCGCGGAATACGTCGTGAAGGTTCCTTAGGGCAAAGCTTTAAAGTTTTTTATAAGTCCATTGTATAGTAAATTGATAATGTAATGTAATATTTTTAAAACATAAAATATAACTGTTTTTTTATTTTTAGCTGTTTTGTCGACTTAATCTACACTAATATTATAAGGGAAAGATGTGATTGCTTATTTTTATTGAATAGGCCCTAAAACTAGTGGACCGATTTGAAAAGTTCCATTAAAATCCTACGTTATTTATTATGGAAATAGGAACATAAGAGATACTACCGGCTCAGCTAGTAGTCTATAAAAGTAACGAAATAGTTTATTCAGTACAACAACAACAATGTACTTTTATAAAAAGGGAAACCTGTCATTGGCTATACTATCAGTCTAAATCTTATAACTAACATTTTCAATGTATCGCTGTTGGTTTCTATAAATAAATAAATAAATAAGTACATAGTCCCTTTTCAGGGCACTTATACACGTCCCAAATATAGCTTGCCCTACCACCACTTCGGGACAACATATGGGCTGGTGCTGAGAAGAAGTGGCGGAATAAACTCAGTCACCTTTGTCAGCCTCATTTTCAAGTAAAGACATTTATACATTAACTGAGGTAAAATGGAGGATTAAGCCTACACTCCCCACGCTGGCCAGACGGGTCGGGAAGGCATGATATTCGCATATTTGTCCCTTACAACATCCGCCGGAAGAGGGAGGGTCGTCCTATTATACATTACTGGAACCACATGGCTGTAACAAGACCCAATGGAAAGATGTTGAGGAAGGAAGATGTTTGTCTAAAGGAAATCCTTCTGCACCAGTTTTCTATAATCTTGATCTACGAGTATCCATAATATACAATACAGGGTGGAATTTTGTAATGCCACCTGGAGGGAAAGTACTCTTAATACTGTAGACAGAACATTTTACAAAAAAAACATTCCTTTATTTTTGAAAAGAAAGATGTACAATGTAACTGTCATATTTGTCTAGAGAAAACAATAAAAAGCTTACTATACTTATTGGTTTCTTATGGCTAGGAGCTTAAAAGCTTATAGCTTACTCTAACAGGTTTGGCGACAAGATTGACAAGTAATTCCAAAAAGGTTTTGGTAAGCTGAGTCAATCGGGTCAGTCTAAAAGAACGTGTTCGCATTTACTTTGGAGTAAGTTACAGTAATAAGCGGTAGCGAATGACTTATAGAAAGAAAGAAAGAAAGAAAGAAAATATTTTATTTGGCCCAACATAGAATAGAATAGAATAGAATAGAATTTCTTTATTGCTACTAAATTAATACTGTATACAGCTTAAAATACTTGCACAGTTGTGGACCAAAATGGCATCCGCTCAGCATTGTGTCCTGCTCTAAGGTAGACCCCAGAACAGGACGCTGTTATTCTGCGGAGGCCATTTTTTTAAAGAGTTTCTTCTTTATAAGCACTGGCCGTTATTATTCTGAAGCAGTGGTAAGGTTTAACTGGGGCTTGAAAAAGTGCTATAAGATTTCAAACTTTTTCGTGTCATTATAATTAAAATAGAGAATTGACTTAGGTTTATCGTTTTCGGTGCAACTCTGTTGCACCTATAACGATAATCGCTATTTTTGTATGGTATTTGACAGATTTTTTACGTTTGTCAAAGTTAAAGTAAGATGGTGCAACCCAGCCTTACAGTTTGACGTTTTGACTGTATTGCTACAGCTTGTTTTTTAAAGGGCTAATTGCGATAATAATCTTTTATGAATGAATGATGACAGATTTTTATGACTTTAGGACAGACGAGTGTGTTGGGGTGCTTCTTTTCAGCATTTGCCAAATGTTTGTCTCAAAGTGCTGGTAGGACAAAAAATTAGACATGTAAAGGGTCTTAATTATGAGCATTTGACGAAATACATAAGAACTAATTTAATTAAGTATTTAAAGTTTATTGAAACCATATGTTAGGTTTAGTCAAGCGAAATTGTAATTCAGATGTTACTCTGAATGAGAACCGCTGTCGTTTCCGCTTCCTCTCCGTCACCAAAGGCTCTATGTGCGAACCCCATTCTTAACGGACCGGTCACTTGAGTAACTATGTGTAATCAGCATTTAGAGTTTACTTACGTAAGTTTATCTAAAGAGTAATGCAAAGATCAATAATGTATGTCAAAACGTAGTTTGAACATGTTACATATAACATTATATATATGTTATAATGTTTATATGTTCATCAATTTATGTTATTTAAAACATAACATGTTATTATAGCGGTTTTCATTAATACATGTTATAAGTAATTTTGCATTGATTTTCAAGAAATAATTAATATTTGTTACTTAACTCATATTGTTTGTTATTTATGCTTAAAACTAGTTAATTTTTCTTCTTTCATTAGTTATCTAAGTTTTATAGACCGGTAGCGAATAAAATATTTATTGGTTAATTATATTTTATGAGCTTTGTACAATACAAAGCAGGTAATATATAGCTAATAACTAGTACATAACAAAGCTACATTATGTATTTATATACCTATTTAATAATAAAAAATCTAATTACATAATACAGCATAATTAGCAAGTAATTAACGATTCTAATAAGAAACGATTCAGCTAAAGTTCAAATAATAAAAAAACCTCTTTCTTTTAAAAGCCATCCTGTATAAATCCAATTTTTGAGTCTAATAACTCTTAATTAGACTCTACACTCTACACTACTAGAGACCTCATACTAAAAGAAATACTTAATAGCTAAAACATAAGAACTATAGTTAAGAACTTACCTTTTGAAAAAAGCTAATTTTAAATCCTACGCCGACTGGCACCTTCGAAGGTTGACACCGCCACCATTAAAAACAATGAAAAATAAAACAAAACGCACACAACACTCGCTCTTGTGGCATCGGCACTAAAACCACATTCCTTTACATGCACGGTTCAAAAACGTTCACATCCTTGGACTGGCCATATGGTTTGGAATGACAGGTTAACTTTTTAATTTCTCGCGTTGGGTTTTGACACTTAAATTTTGATTTAGGAACGCGGTCTAGTGGGTCGTTTCGATTTTTGAATTGTTCGTTTTTTTTCGCATGGCGTCCGCCCTACGCTCGGTCTGGTGTTAAACTGGCTGCGCTTGCGTCGGGGGCCGTGGCGTGGAACGTACTAAGTGCTTTTTACGCAATTTTGAACTCTGTATCCGACTAAAGATGAGGGTGATGTCAGTCGAGGATATTTTAGTGCTGGGCCTTAACGGGAATCGGTACTGAGAAACAATAAAATATAAGAGTGAAATGTGGATATTAAGTTTTAGTACACTCTCCCATATCGGCAGTAAAATTGTGCTTTACAATTTATAGACGTATAAGAAACATTTTTATTTGTTGAATCGAATTGGGCTATAAAAATGTAAATTGAATATTAAAATATGAAACGATCGGAGATCTTGAAATAGGTTTTTTAATTATAGAATTTATGATGAAAGGTTTACAAGAATATGATAGTAACTTATTACCTACTCTTAGCTTACTGCATGCACTGGCTGTTTAAAAAATAATAAATAAATAAATAAATAAAAATCATTTATTGTTTCCCACAACCAAAATTTATAATAATAATATAAAATTTATAATATATAATATTACTTATATGACTACATTTATAAAAACTAGGCTTTTTATGTGCATTTCTATTACTAAACACTAGTATTTTTGACAACAGTTTTAATAAATAACTTGAAAAAATTGAACTGCCTTAGGCAGGAATTTTTTTTGAGAAGCGATTCTATTCCCTAAGTTTTAATAACGTATTCCCAATCTCCAGTGTTTATAAAATATTTTTTCTTTCTCTTTTTCCCTCCTTGGTTTTTCTTAAAAACTTCCTTTGTTAAATACTTTTTGAAGTTACATGGTTATTTTTTTGTTAGGTCTAAATTGTCTGGTCTAAAGGCTTCACAAATAAGGCTTAAGTGAAGTCAGGAAACAATTTAACTACATATGACTCATTTTGTACTAAAACAAGTTTATGACCGAACAATACTTAACGAAATAAACGTCCAAATAGGAAATAGTCATGGAAAGGCATTGAACTTGAGTTAAAATCTTTTGTCCGCATTTTAAAAACCTTTTTGTACCTATGTTGAAATAGGATAAAACTTTTATCGATTGTATAACTAGGTAGGTACTTATATGATTTTATGCGTAGGCAAATAGTGGATTGTTTAATTAGTTTATACAAATGGTCATACATAAGAGGTTTATGTACCGAACTCACGTAAATCTACGTGTGATCCAAAAAAAACATTAACTGCACTAATATTATAAAAAGGAAAGATTTGATTGTATGTATTAAATAGGCTCCGTAATATCTGGATCCATTTGAAAAAATATTTCACCATTAGAATCCTACATTATTTCTGATGAACATGAGCGGTACAAAGTTCGCCGGGTCAGCTAGTTACACTTATTTTTATGTTAACTTTCAATAACCCATATTATGGCGATTTAAGAACTTAAAAGTTTGCACAACATTTTCAGTGCCTACTTTATTTAATATCTAAGGAACGAGTATTAAAAACAAGTTAAATGTTTAAGTACTATGCATAAGAAATGAACAAAAATATCTGGTTTTAAAACAATCCTAACCAACCAAAAGGGAATAACCTGTCGTAGTATGCAATGCAATGAACTTGACGCGTTGATGTCTTTTGTTCACAAGTGAAAACCATGGGACAAAATTATAATTTTCATGGGTTATTATTATACCATGAAGGTACCATGGAGTTTATACCTTCAAAAATAGGAAAATGATAGGAAATCAGAGAGTTTCCTTCAAACTGATCTTTGTTTCTAATTATCGTATCATAGACGTTTTCAACCGACTTCAAAAAAGGAGGAGGTTTTCAATTCGACCCGTATGTTTTTTTTTTCTATGTTTGTTACGCGATAACTCCGCCAATTATGAACTGATTTGAACAAATCTTTTTTTGGCGTATAGGTAATACCTCAAGGGTGGTCCCATTTAAATTTAATAATAGAAAAAACAACCCCCAAGGGTGGAAAATTGGGGATGAACTTTTTTATACGCAATATCTCCGCCGATTATAAATCAATTTGAACGATTATTTTTTTGTTGAATAGGTATTATCAAAAGGGTGGTTTCATGCGAATTTGAAGAAAATATTTCACCCCCAAGGGTGGAAAATTGGGGATGAACTTTTTTATACGCAATATTTTTAATTTTTAGTTTTTTTTTGTGTTCACGCATTTGAAGTCGGTTTTATTTAAAAAAAAAGTTAATTATTTGTTATTTAATGCAAAAACTTCTCAATAGATTTTGGTGAAATTAATATAGACTATAATAAATCCACGCAGGAAAAGTCGCGAAAAAAGCTAGGCTGTGATAAATATTCTTCAATATCTTCCCTTAACAGGTTATCTAACAATTCTAAAATGTTTTATGTTAAAGTGTTTTTTTTTTATCAAAAATAAGAGACAGAAAGAATTCTTCATTATTATGCATAGATTTTAATGTAAAAGAAAAACTTTATCGAGAATCTTGTGCTCAAAATCGCTTATTTTTTGCCAAACGCATAAAATGTAATTTTTCATTCTATTAAAGTTGAGAAATTGTAAGTTTCTCACGCAATTTTTATATACATTTTTATACTTGCTACATTATAAGCTAATTAGTAATTATACTAATTCGTAACCTAAAGGGATGTTGATAACGGATGTTAAAACTAGTGGTTTGAGTGGCAGACTATAACACAAGTGGCTTGAGGTTCGAACCTTGTGGGGGACAAACGTTTCGTATTTATTAACAAATTTTTTGGTTATCATAATTCGTATTAGTACTTGTTTTTGTTACTAATAGTAAATAAACAATACGTACTATAGTTATTTAATACTAGCGGCCGCCCGCAACTTCATTTTCCCGTTTTACCCCCTTAGTAATTTAGCAAAATCCCATCGTAGTGAGCACCTACATTCTAAAAGAACCCCCATGCAAATTTGAGACTCTTAGCACTTGCAGTTTCGGAGATTTCGTAATGAGGCAGTGAGTCAAATTTACTCAATTTTAAAACTTGCATATTTGATATCAAAGGTTAGGATGTACGATCACACTTTTCATAACAAGTAGAGTCGACCATTTCTTCGATTCATGTCAGATGCCTTTTGACACCTAAGTGGTTGCTTCCCACATAATCATCATCAAGTGTTAAGGTTTATTTTCCACTGAAGATCATGGTCCATCCTATTAACTTACCAGAGGTAGGTAAGCAAAGAAGTTGACCTCCACTCCCTACGCTAGCCACTTCTGGCTAGCGTAGGGACTTCTGCCACTTCTTCTCAGCATCAGCCGATCTTTATTTTAGTCAGGCTATCGTACCAGAGTGATCGTGGTTGCGTTGACGATGTACATGATGGGGTGATGTCATCTCCGAGGGTAGCTCTCCTGGCGATGTGCTTCCATTTCTGACGGTTAGAGGCGTCGTGTTGGACCATGGTAGACACAGTAGCCTTTGTGATGGCGTCTATCTGGAGGGCACCAGCCATTCATCATCGTCATCATTATTTCAGTCATAAGACGTCCACTGCTGAACATAGGCCTCCCCCAATGATTTTCACAAAGTCTGGTTTTAGCGGCATGCATTCAGCGCCTTCTTGCTACCTTTATGAGGTCGACGGTTCACGTTGTAGGTGGACGTCCTACGCTGCGCTTTCCACCACCTCCACTCCAGAACCTTGCTGCCCCATCGGCCGTCAATTCTGCGTACTATGTGCCCTGCCCATTGCCACTTCAGCTTGCTAATCCATTGGGCTATGACAGGGATTTTAGTTCGTTCACGAAATGTTTCCACCAGCTAATATGTTGTCCCAAAATGATGGAAAAGCTATATTGGGACGTGCAGTGCCCTGAAAAGAGCATGCATACTAATAAAATTTTTTATTGAATTTAAGATATTACATGTTCAGTATGTTCACCAGGTGTCTTCCAGTGACTTGGCCCACTTTTAGTTTGGTCCACGGGCCAAGTCGCTGTATTGAATTTTAAAATATTTTTTCTTTCTTTCACAGTACATCTGTGGTCCAGAACTTGCATTACAAATTACGCGGAGTAAAAAACGATAAAGAACTTCGCCATATCAGATGACCTTAAATGGATAACTGCCCTAATTATAATACTTACTACCCACAGTCAATATTCACAGGATTTTTTACTCTATCCTCGTAAACATAGAGTTGAATTTCCAACGGCTGACTTTCCTGAAGATTTTGCAAAACAAAAAAGGATGGTCCAATCGAGTTTTGCCACTGACCTTTTGTCCTTAAACATGTAACTGAAAAACCAAACAAAAATCTACTCTATTGCTTTGGTGAAAGGTGAAAATTTCTTTGAATTTAAAGCACAGATGTTATTTTTCTTGCAAAACCAAGAGACATTGAAGATACAACCTTTTACGTAAGAAATAAGAGCTTCAAATTATTTCTGAACTCTTTTATTTTTTATTTATTTTAACTCAAGCAAATGCAAGGGACGGGGGCAAATTAAGCTTACACTGTGGTACTTATGTTATTGAAATAGAGGCGGTTTTTCAACAAAAATGAATACTTGATGTGCTGTTTACAGGATTTTCTTAGAGATGCAGCCTTTTTAGTTTTCTTCGTGATGTTAAACCGATCTAGATAATTTTAATTTGCGTCCAACCACTGCTCCTGGCTACGTCAGCTATTTCGATGGCATAGATAATGTTTTAATATCTATCTAGCTAATTTAATCTAAACTAGTCATCAATTATTTTTATCAATTTAGCACTAAGGACAAGTTTTACCGGTCTCTGATAATTTTATGTGACAAATAAAGGTTAGTGATACTTAGGCTGAGTTGTACCACCTTATTTCAACTGTGAATATAACCATAACCGGTGTTTTTGTATCGAGTTTGTCAGACTTTGTTAAATTTGTAGTAAGATGGTGTAACCCAAACTTACAGTATAGTTAGCTTTTTCTTAAAAAAAAAGAGAAATAGCAATACTTAAAAAATAGCTATACTGTAAGGCCATTGATTCAGGATTTACTTTTACTGTTTGTTCTATAAGTGTAGAGCTTATACAAAATGAATAATTTGATACTTTATGAACTCTCTCACCACCACTAGCGCTCTCTATACGATGTCTTAAGAACTGTAAGAGCTTACAATCCAGTTCTTAGACACAGTATCGATCAAGACGTTAGTATGCAGAGAACTGTAAACAGATGGCGTTTACTACTCGTATATTATACTTACCCACTAAATTTATTAATTTTTGCTTGCTTTTTTCGAGGATAAGTTCTAATTTTTTATATTTTGAGAATGTTGTTCTTAATTAAGGCATTGGATATAACAGATATCACAACATAACAAATATTTTCATACAACTATTCTTATACTCTATTTTTCAGAGTGATAATCTTAATTTGTGCATTTTAAACTTGTTGCAATTTTATTTTATTGAAAATATGAAGCCTGGATATCTCTTTACTAAAAACCATAATCATTTAATTTTATCTCTATTAAAAATAATTACCCCTTAACATTAAAATATGATCTTTTCTTTTTCTACATACAGGATGCATTTTGTCAACGACTTTCACATTTCATCCCCTACGACAAAAAAATGAAACAAAAACATAATTTCCATTCACAAAAACATTTTATTTTACAAAAAAGTAGAAAACAAAACGTTAAATAAAATACAAAATAGTTTACAAATAAATAACATTAAATCTAAAATATTTCTATCAAAAATAAAACATACGATCTTTCATCCTAATTTAGGATCCTGAATTCACCTTTTCGTGAAAATTTTCACACAACTTTTTCTAAGTTTGTTTTGATTCTAAGCAAATATTTTGTCCACCAACCAAACTGGCTACAAACAACTTTCAAAACAATTTCTTGTTTTAATTCCAAAAGCTTTTATTTAGAAAACACTATATTCCGTTCGAAAATTACATTAGTATTTTTGCAATACAAAAAAGAATAACAAAAACTTTATGTAAAATTGTTGTAGAGTTCATAGGATTATTCTGGTCAGATCTTGGCATCAAATATAGGCAAAAAATGTAGCAGAGTAAGCCAATTTTGTAGCAAAGTATGCACCAATTTCTTTTTAGAAATTATAGAAATGTATTATTTCTGTTTCTATTTCTAATATCTTTCTAGAAATCGCACTTATTTCAACGATAAGATGCCAAGTGTTTAACTTAGAATGTCTGTCGTGACAATACTTCCAGCCTTCCGCATTTCTCTTTCATTGTGATATAAAGCCTACACATCGCGTTGGTGTTAGGTCACATTTATACCCAAGGTTTAGCCAAGAGACAAAAATATTTTAAGTATTGGGTAGGTAGTACCTGTACATGACATAATAATATGAGTTTTATTAAAATTTAAAACCAGAAAGAGAACCTCTGGAAGATAATTCAGTAGGTATTTGATATCATATGAGTCATTGGATGCAATTATGTATAGTAGAAATGACTCTGTAATTTGTGATGATATGAGTGCCATAATGAATATAAAAATAAGCCAATGTAGCAAATTATGATGATGGTGATGCTAGAATAGTGCATGATTTATTTAAAATTGTGATAGTCAAATCGGATTACTAATGTTTGGCCAAAAAACGTTTCCCAAATTATCACATGGCAAACAACGTTTCGCAAATTTTCATTTGGCAAATTCTCATTTGGCAAATTCTCATTTGGCAAAACAACTTATTGCAAACTTTTAATTCGCAAATGTCTTTTTTGGCATATTATTGTTTAGCAAATTATTGTTTGGCAAAGTATGTTTTGCCAAATGTTTCATTTGGCAAAAATATTTCACGATAAATTATTTACAAAATAATTTGATTGGTGCATAGAATGGAATACAAATTAGCTTGTGGTTATTATTTTGTTTAGTGGGTAGTTAATATAAAATTTGTTCTAAATTTATTTTCATATTTCATTATTTTTATCGAAACTAAATGATTAATTAACAATAGAGGTGATTCTAGCGCTCGGCGGCCGCTGCCGCGGCACGCTTCGCTCGCCTTCGCGCGTTAAGGGTCACTGTTCTAACCTAACCTAACCTACTATTTTCTGCAAAACCTACTTTCGCATCCATACTATTTTCTGCAATCTCTTTGTTTTACATAAAATTCTTGTGAAAACCATGATCATTTGCCTTGTGCTTTAATTTGTGGGTAACGGTGGGTAAGCATGTGAAGTGTCAATTTGACCAAATAAATTATTTGGGATATAATATTTGTCAAAATAAAACATTTGCTATATAAACATTTGCCAAGTAAAATTTGACCAAATGATAATTTGACCAAATGAAATAGTTGCGAAAAGTACATTTGCTAAAAGTTCATTTGGGAAATGAAACTTTGGCGATAAGTTGTTTGCGAAGTGAAATTTGGCGAAAAGTAATTTGGCCAAACGGAAGGATACCAGTCAAATCAAATCATGACTGCAAAAATGTTGTGTGCAGGGTTGATGAATTAATGATTTAATAATAATGAAATGAAAAATGAAAACGAAAATTATGAGTTGGTTTGCTTGCAATAAGATATTGAAAATTATGTTTTGAATAATGAGTGCAAATGATGTTAAAATAATGATGAAAATAAGAACAATGCATAAATCAATAATATGGTGTAATGATTACATACGAGTATTTGTATTTCATGCATATAATTTAGTTTGTGGATTGATGATTTGAAAATTACAATGTAGTTTTGGTGAATAGTGATATGAATATGGTGTAGTGATGTGCTTGATGAATGGTGATTAAAATGGGGGCATAATTAGGTCAAGATAGACGATTTTAAACATACTGGTGATGATGATGATGAAAATGACAGTTTATGTTATTGAAGGCTGACATTTTGAAATAATGATAATGAAGTTTATGATGATAGTGAAGATATAACTGATGATGATATCAATGATGAAAACGTAATGGAAGAAATTATGATGCAAATAATAATTAATGATCGTGATACTGAATGCGATAATGATAAAAGATAAAATGATAATGATAAAATTAAAGCTAATGATGGCAGTGAACTTAGATGAATAACTATAAATAATGAACTCCGTGAGAGAGAGGACTTAGTTAAATGCTACTAATATAGATTTGAAATGATGAATGAGTCTTGATGTAAATGAGGATAAAATAACAAATAATAGGTACCTGTACTTTTCAGAGAAAAGTGATTTGAATCTTTTTTACAGAATATTGGATTGTTTTACATATTGACCAATTTTTTTTTTCTATATCTAATCTTCCCCTAATCCATTTTATCGGCTTTTCAAACATTAATTTTGAATTCAAATTTTAATTTGTTTTAAAGTAGGTAATATTATTGTTTCATCACAAATTGTTAACCTTAATTAGATTATGTCCACTTTCCTATTCTCTAATAATAATGGACGACATGAATATAATGAATGTAGTCTTTTGGATGCTTAATTGAAACATCTTTAACATACAGACGAATATTTTTGTAAAACGTTGATATTTGTCACAAAATTCACTGCTACAACTCGTAGTGAGATCTTTAAATTATTGAATTTTAGAAGATCCAAAATTTTATGACCTTTAGTCTGTTGTATTTTCATGATTACGTTTATAACACAAGTTATTGTCTACTTGTCACTTCAAAATCACATTTTAGTTTATAATCATCAACTTTTTAAAATAATTATCACTTTTCATCTTCAGTTCCATCTTCATCAAACGTCAGAGTTCTTTCAAATTACGTCGATTGTGTCTTATCCATTTGTGCATCTCTTTCTTCTCCATTTCTTTTGTCTTTATTATCTACTTCTTCATTCTTTTTGTCTTTATCTATTTCTTCTTCTTCCTCATCATCTATTTCTTTTTCTTCTCCAGTTCTGTTTCACTGTGGATTAACAAGTTTGTCTATCCACGGCACAAACTTCTGTATATTCGTGTAAACTCCAGGTAAGTGTTCGCGGCCGCAGCCGATGCCCCATGATACGAGCCCAATGAGGGTGCTTCGCCCCTCGAGCTTCATCGTGAGAGGGCCGCCGGAGTCGCCTTGGCAGGAGTCTCGGCCTCCCTGGAAGAAAAAAAAATAATGAGACCAATGGTACCTTAATTAATGCGGATTTTTTTTTATAATAATTTATCTCAGTAATGGCAGTTATATTCCATGTTCAGTCTTATGCCTTCTACAGCATATTTCTGGTAAGGGCTTGTTCCCACGTAGACACCCCGTTTTGTAGGAACTGTTTTTTGCAGAATACCGTTTATACGTATTTTAATATCAAATTTGTTTGAATTTGTAATTTGAATTTAAAACACGCATAATGTGTGTCCACTCGACAGTCCAGTTTTGCAGGAGTCTGCATTATTGAATCTTGGATTACCGTGGGAACAAGCCCTATAACTGCGCAGCCTTCATTATAAAGTTTTATTGGTAAGCTGTTGATACTAGCTACCTAGAAGTTGCAGCGATGAGAACTACAGCACTAATAGTATAGTTCTGTTTTCTGTGGGCTTATAGGATCTCACTTAATAAATGATTTAAAGAAAATATGAATTTCAGAAAATGACTTCTATCCCATTTGGCTTTTGAACCCTGAACCCATAATTTTTCGAGAGAGAACAATACTTTAACTAAATAGGCTTTATTATCAGAAAGTTAAGTTTATTTAAAGTTCCTGTTTAGCCCAAATTATTTAACTGGCATTATTAACTGGCAGCGATGCCCAATGGCATTAAGTTCACCTAATGTACCAATTTTATTGCATTATAGAATAAATAAATAAATATTATTTACCTCTTTGTATCCCGCACAGAGGAACACGTCGTGTATCGTCTCCCGCCTGCCGGCCGCGCGGAACCATCGCTGGCACCTCTCGTTGGGGATCACTTCTACGTCCACTTCCTGGAAATTAAATAATAATATTGTTAAAATGTTCTTGATCATTTTCACATGGCGTGGATGGTGCCAAGATCAAAGCTTTTACCTATGAGACCAAAGAATTATATTTTTTAAACATCTACGAGTATATCCTAGGTTTGTACGTAGAAAACACCCAGCCCTAAAACAAGCAAAGCTCATAGTAATTGCTTGATGGCCCGATGACCTCAAGAAATCATCATCATCATCATCATTTCAGTCATAGGACGTTCCCTACTGAATATAGGCCTCCTCCAATGACTTCTACAGCGCACGGTTGGTAGCGGCCTGCATCCAGCGCTTTCCTGCTACCTTTATCAGGACGTCGGTCCACCTTGTGGACGTCTCACGCTGCCTTTTTCGGTACTTCAAGAAATAAAGAACTTAAATTGAATGAAAGATAGCTGAGCAGCTGGATGAAAAAAGTGAGAGGCAGTAAACTGTCATTGGCTAAAATGATGATGATGATGATCTAAATAAGAACTTTACCTGTAAAACAGAAGGCACGGTGCTCTGTCCATGTCGCGTCCTGCCCCAGCCTGCGACTGTCGCCATTTTTCCTGCCAACTTCATCTGCTTCTGAGGTAAGCAAACCTGAAACATTACGTTAAAAATACGAGTAATAAAATTATTCCTGTTCTCCACTTATAGAGGGTTGGTTTTTGTTAAGGCTTTTATGGTGTGAGACTTCACAGGACTTAAGAGTCACCATAGTAGTTTGACGAAGTAAATATTAAAAAAATAATAAAAACAGCCACAGAGGAACGGCCATTTTACCGCTAACTGCCGAAACACAACATCGTTGTTACGGACAGGCTTACATAAGATAGTGGTAGCTAGTCAGACCGACTTAGAATCTACCAAACTGAGAAGAATATTGCCTCAGCTGAGAATTGAATCCGGTACCATCGGGTCTGACAGGTGGTCTTACTACTAGAAGTAAGTACTAAACCACTATTGGCTATTTGTGTTTTGTAATTCTTTTATAATGCGAACAGCTAGGGACTGGAATTATCTGTTTTTCCCGAGTATTATAATCCGGGCCTTTTCAAGGCGAAAGCGAATATACAGGGTGTTTGGCGCATCGTGTGCCAAAATTATTTGGCGGATAGAATGGGTCATTTCCTATATTTTCACCCCCCATAACACGTTCCATGTCAGGCGGCTACTTTTATATTAAGTTTTTTAGTAATTTCACCAAAATACCCAAATCGCATCATTTAATTTCGATTTAAAAAAAAACTACTAAGCGTAGCCTCAAAGTAAATATTTTGTTTTGACGTGCATTGATATAGGGTTGCATCAAATCTAAATTTACTGGCAAATATCATCTAGTTTTTTTTTAATTCAGCTTTGAACTTTTCCGAAAAGTTAAAAATGGACTGAACATTTAAGTTTACATGGCTATAAATTTTTTTTTAAAAGAGATAGCGATCTTCGGATTTTATCAAAACTTCTCTAGTCTATCCCCATTCAAACGGTATACTAATCTTGTTTAAATAATAACAACAACTTCACAAATTCCCTAAATTAGTGCATTGACTCTATTCGGACTGATTTGCGAAATTTGTGTTTATAGCCCCTTTTTGTGTGAATAACACGTTAAATACCTACAGGTAAAAATATTTATCTTATGCAATGTAAAAACTTTTTCCCTATCGTTTTTCAACGTGGATTTCTTGAAATTAAAGACGAAAATAATTATTTTGATCGTTTATTAATTATTACAAATTTTGTTCAAAATGTCCGCCTCGGCAACGTATACACTCACGACATCTTCGACTGTTGTCGTATGCAGCCTCATTTCTCTTTTTATTACTATAAAGGCGTTTTCTATTCGTTGTTGTAGTTCTTCTAATGTTTGAACTTCCGTTACGTACACCAGTTCATTACCTCGTCCCCAGACGTAAAAATCTAACGGAGTTAGGTCTGGGGAACGTGCAGGCCACTGTATAGGGCCAGTCTAAATTAGAAGAAGATGTCGTTACTTAGTGTATACGTTGCCGAGGCGGACATTTTGAACAAAATTTGTAATAATTAATAAACGATCAAAATAATTATTTTCGTCTTTAATTTCAAGAAATCCACATTGAAAAACGATAGAGAAAAGGTTTTTTACATTGCATAAGATAAATATTTTTTACCTGTAGGTATTTAACGTGTTATTCACACAAAAAGGGGCTATAAACACAAATTTCGCAAATCAGTCCGAATAGAGTCAATGCACTAATTTAGGGAATTTGTGAAGTTGTTGTTATTATTTAAACAAGATTAGTATACCGTTTGAATGGGGATAGACTAGAGAAGTTTTGATAAAATCCGAAGATCGCTATCTCTTTTAAAAAAAAATTTATAGCCATGTAAACTTAAATGTTCAGTCCATTTTTAACTTTTCGGAAAAGTTCAAAGCTGAATTAAAAAAAAACTAGATGATATTTGCCAGTAAATTTAGATTTGATGCAACCCTATATCAATGCACGTCAAAAAAAAATAATTACTTTGAGGCTACGCTTAGTAGTTTTTTTTTAAATCGAAATTAAATGATGCGATTTGGGTATTTTGGTGAAATTACTAAAAAACTTAATATAAAAGTAGCCGCCTGACATGGAACGTGTTATGGGGGCTGAAAATATAGGAAATGACCCATTCTATCCGCCAAATCATTTTGGCACACGATGCGCCAAACACCCTGTATACTTACAGGGCAGGTATGTACCTACCATCCTAGACCTCACCTAACTTTCGAAGCAATTGCAGTCAAATTCAAATTCAAATTCAAATTCAAATTCAAATTCAAATTCAAAATATTTATTGCTTACTAAGTGACAATTTGTAATGCTGTAAATTACATAATATACAGGAGCTTAAAAACTTAGTTACCTGAGTGGTATCGCAATATGCTGCTGCCTAACCTGCTTTATGCTGCATGAAAATAAATAAAAAACTAAGGATCTTACTGGCAGTATATGCTGCTTAAACACCACCCCCCTATCCAGCTGCACCAGCGCCACATCGTTCCTGAAGTCCGCCGGCTCGTACGCAGGGTGCACCTCCTTCCTCTGGACAGCGAACTCCTCGTGCGAGTACCTTTCACCAGCATCTCTCACGTCCCACTCGCCTAGCCGCACGCGAAGCTGGGAGTTTGGAGTGCTGAGGATTGAAAAATTATATATTTATAAAGGTGTATTATAAGCTTTGTTATAGGGTAGAAGATTCATCATCATCAGGTCATTTAGTTTTCATTGCTGGAGGACGAATCTCACTAATTTACTTTAAGCAAATGGAGGATTTGTTCAACACTCTCCATGCTGGCCAAACGGGTTAGGCCCAGAACAGACGGTGAAACGCAACTGCAGCTGCTAGTTACTTTTGAGTTGCATCTAAGTTTCTGCCATAGCGTTCGTTGAGAGACCACCCATGACGCGACCAGTTTGAAACTTTCAGTTTCAGTTTCATTCATCAGAATCATCAGAAAGTTGCAGTTTCGTTGCAGTTGCATTTCACTGTCTGTTCTGGGCCTTAGGGAAACCGCATAAAAAGAGGAGGAGGATATATATTCTACTTTGCGGATTCAGAGGAATTATGGTTAAATTATTCTCAGTAGTGGTTCGCATTTTATTGTTAACACATTTTTTATGATTTCCAAGTGATTTTCACTATACATAACACTTTGATGAATTTTGACTGAATGGTAAAATTTTAAAATCAGGCTAAAACACTTTTGACTGACCAACGCTCTTGGTCTTGAATATTGACCAAGAGCATCAGTCAAAACTACTTTCTGATTTTTGCAGTCAAAAGTGGTTTTGACCGATTATGACTTTTGACTGTAACATCAACATTACTTACGTAGCAACGCAATGCGCAGCTGTGATGACCCAGCGATCAGATATCAGGGCCCCACCACAAGCCAGCTTCTTGCTAAGGAACCCTGACTTGATCAGTGCCGCCTGCCAGGGGTGGGACCCAAAGCCCGTCGAATGGCCCCCTACGATACGGTTCGACCTGGTGAAATGTTCCCCGCAACCTGAAAAGTGAAAAATCTTTTTAGATAGATGCTTTTTTTTCATCGAAATATTTGTCCACTTAATATGATTTAAAAAGAGTTTACTAAGATATTTAAAAAAGAAAAAAGAAATAAACACCTAAATGTAAGATATACAGAAGTTAACAGATCCGAATATTAAAAGAATTTTACAAGTTCTATTTGAGAGACTCAGAAGGCTAGCCTAAATAGCAAGGCTAATTCTTAGCCTAATCCCTAACGCCTTGTATATATGTCTCTATCTCTTGTGTTATAATGTCGCTAAGAGAGAAAGGGATGATTAAATCCAAAACTTTGGATTTTTGTCAGACGACTTATGTCCCCAGCCATACATTTAAAACATACAATGTGAACGAATAAAGCGGTGCGTGCTTACAAATACTTAACACGTGTTATTGACCACATAAAACAATAACTACGATAAAGTAACTAACTATGACAAGATGCTTTTCTACTTTCTACATTCCTGGAGTAACGCCAAAACTTGCACTTAAAATTGACGTTTATAAATTATCAGCTAAACATTGAGCTACATTGAGTACAGCGAAGTGACGTCTAAAGTCGTTTCCTATCCCATTGTGTAACCCTAAAAGCATTTCAATGTATTCAATTTAATGCTATTTTACTAACAGTTTCCTCTTTGTGAAGACACGACACGATTGATCCCCAGAGACTAAAACTCCATAAGTGCGTGTACCTATCACATTATCATTTACTCCCAATAGGACTTACACCTATAACCGTGCCTGGTGGCCCAATACACCACAAAATGTGACTTACAAAATCTGCCTGCTCAGTCTCAATCAATTTATTGACAAGTTTTGGTGTTTCTACACTCCAGCTACCAATAAAGTAGAGTAGAATACTCGTGCGTCAATACTGTCTAAAAGATCATTGACCAAGCGACAAAAAACAAAGCTGCCGAAGCGAATGCGTCGATCTGTGTGTAAGCGTGTGCGGCAGAAATGGTGCGTGATGATTATGAAATTGCTGTGCTGTTCAAGCAAGAAAGTGACAGTGCTATCTTAGGTGACGGGGAAACTCGCTGAATAAGACGCATGACACTTATGTAACATTATAACGCGTTCATAAATCTATTATTATCATCACAAAATTAATAAAAAAGAGTAACAACAACAGAAAAGTTACTTAAAAGTACTTTTAGGAAACACCATGTTGGGCGCCAAAAAATTAACTTGGCGCCCAACGTGGTGCAGACAAAAATTGCTCATCTTATTAATATCAATTGCATGCAGTCAGCTAGAGTTTCACCATACCCTAAGAGAGCCCAATAAAACAACATCTCACCAGGAAAACTTGGCCTCTGCGGCTTATGACCGTTCGTGTGCACTGGCACATAATCATCATCACCATCATTGTAATGTGTGTTCTGCGTCGTTGTCTCGTGGTACGAGGGTTTCACGTGAAAATAGTGGTTCTGGTATTCCCAGTCCGGCTTTGGTGGGTCCGGTTCTGGCTGGTTCAGATCCGGTTTCGGCCGGTTCAGATCCGGTTTCGGCCGGTTGTGCGCCGGATTCGGCAGGTTAGTGTCGGTGTAAATGATGATCGGGTCTTCGAATTGGTTTGTGTTTTGGTAGTCGTAGTTTTCGTGAGGGAATGTGCCAATGAGCTCAATGAGATCACCTGTTTTCAATATTTAGGTTTTATGGACAGTATTATGCAGTAGTTTAGTCTAATAGTAAAACTAGTAATTTAAAATCTTTCGTTTTCTTAGCTAACTTATTCGTAAAGTATTCTTACTATGTGACAAAATAACTAAAGTATTTTAATCAGGAAAATTTGTAGTGTAGAATAGATGTCTAAATGGTGTCTGATATTATTTTCACCAGTGCCTGATAAAGTTTCAGATAGCTATCTGTAATGTAAAGCTTACAAATAACAGGGGATAAATCTGCTAAATATTTGAAGACTAACTTCTAAGACTTGTGAAACCTAGGATAAAAATATTATTTACGAGACTTATAGAATCAAGAATTGCAGTTTAATTTTAGGTAAGTTCCTGACAATTTATCAGAGACTTTATCAGGCGGTAAAAATAGTTCCTGAGTGTTGTCTATGATATGTTATGTGTCTTATTTGGGAACCAAACTCAAAACTGAGCATTCCGAAATTGTACCATAAACATAGTCTGTAATACTATTTTTAATAGCACATAAAAGTGTTGCTTTCTTAAGATTTATAATTTACATACATAAAGTAGGTACTTGTAATAGGTTCTGAAGCGATACGTCCGCGTTTTTTTGTAATCTTGTATAATAATTACGCGATTTTCACGTTATGTATCTATAGCACGTCAAGTTTAACATTTTTGGTGCAAAATCGTTCTTATTATGACTACATAAGAGCTAAATACTTTTAACTTGAAGTGCATTCGTTTGAACAAACAATGTACCGGAAGTAAGGAAACAAAGTGTTGAGCGTAATAATTACGTTATTAAAGCATGGTTATTAGATAATTAATTAACATTTATCACTGTTACGTAATGTTAAACTTGGTTTTTAAAGCAATGTCATGTAAGTTCAATGATTTTCTTTATGTAATAATTTCATAATAGCTAAAAATAGTAAGTCTGAGTTGCACCACCTAACTTTGACCGTAACTATAACGATAACCGCTGTTTTTTTGTATGGAGTTTGACAGATTTTTGACGTTTGTCAAAATTTAAGTAAGATGGTGCAACCCAGCCGAAGTAGGTGAAGAAGCACTGTAAACTTTGCTACTTTTGTCGTTGTACAGTACTTGATATCATCAGAGAAAATAATCATTATTAATATTATAGTATTGTCACTATACTCTTCTGTCACTTGCCATTAAAGTTCGATAACACTCAAGTATCCCAGATATGACATTGACAGTAGGGCGCTACTATCGAAATCAACACTGGGATATTAGTTTCGATTTTTGCCACTTGACGTTTTAGAATCATTTGACTATACAGTCAACACTACCAGCCCGCCTGCCCCTCGCAGAACTGCGCCACCATCGGCGGGTGTGCGACGCCTAGCGACATAACTACCCTACCATCCTACCGAATGATTTCTACTAAAATCCATACTTTTAAGAAGCTGTCAAAATGCATATGACCATAATATTATGGTATAGCAATTCTAAGTTATTTAATGGTAAATGGTGTCCAAATCATCCAGTTCAAAGAAATAATTAAACAGATTTCGCAATACGAATATTACGTCTAAGTCAATTAAAATCCAGTCTAAAGATAAAATTGAATAACAGTCCAAGAAATTAAGTGAGTTACTCAGCAAATCATCTACATTGTTTTAACTCAGTGCGTTGCAGATTTGTAATCTGTCAAATTATACCATCTTAAAATTGTTTGCCACAAAGTTGCGACGACAGGTAATATTATTACCAAGTCAAATTCATTTTTTATTGTGGCGAAAGAAACCCATGAGCTACCTTTGCGGCCCTTTTTACCCGACTGCGCCAGAAGGAGGAGGCATCAAATACATATCACCAACAAAATAATATTTAGTCATTGACTAATTACCTCCGACTGCATTTGTGAACACTGAGGCTTGTTTTTATCTTTTTAGTTAATTTTTACGCAGTTGGGTATTTTGTTTTTGTTTATTGTTATGAAATACAATTTATTATGTAAGTGTGAGCACGTCAGCAAAAGTCACTTTATCTGCCTTCATGACAACCGTAAAAAATAGTTTAATTCAGTATGACATTAATTTATTTATAAACTAGCGGCCGCCCGCGACTTCGTACGCGTGGATCCCGTTTTACCCCCTTTTCCCGAATTTTCTTTGCTATAAACCTCACGGAGCCCGAGACCTTTCCAACGAATGCAAAACCGTGGAAATCGGTTCGTGCGTTCTGGAGTTATAGCGTCAGGGAGGAAAACCCGACTTATTTTTATATAGTAGATTTTAATGTTCATCAAATTTTAAGCTGTTGATATTCTTCTGCCCCTACTTTTGGACATGAAGCAACAAAACGTTTATGTCTAAAGTTTTTCCTGATTATCTAAAAACGCAAGTCGCAACTCTGTGGCGTCCCGCCTTGGCCACGCTCCAACGGGCGTGATATAACGTTCACTTTCACTCGCTAGGATTTTCACCTGCATCTCGATTTGGTGATAAAAGATCGCACTTTATACCGGTATGGTACAACTACCGAAGATGTATACCGGGATAAGGTTTTATTGCTCAGAAAGCTGATGCAAAGGTGAGTCGTAATTTTGGACTTTTGGTCGACAGTCATTATATAAATCCCGGGAAAAATCACGTAGGTACTGTTTGTTGTTATACATGTATCGCAAAAAATAACACTTTCAATAGTTTTGTCATTATTTTATCTAAGTAATACACATTTTTGTAGCATATCCTAAAGTTGATCCTACTATTTTTATAATAACACTAATAGCTGTGCTCGCGGCTTCGTAACTACGTGACAAATCCTTATCACTTCCTTAGTTTACATCCTATTCTCAAATCAACTGACTATTCACACAAAATTTCATAAAAAATCGGTCTTTCAGAAGACTTTTGTTACAAACACAGTGACGCGAGAAGATGAACTGTAAAATTAAGTATTACAATATTTGAACTCATCTACTTTCATTCTACAAACAGTAACTTATTATTCGTCAGAGCAAAACCTAAAAACCGATCGTACCTACGAAACTATTTATTTGAATTTACCACATCAAGCAAGCTATATTTGGAACGTAGCGACCTGAAAAAGGCCATACTCATTTAAATTGAATCAAATGTGAACCAAACAAACCGTAAAGAAAATTAGCGAGTCCAACGTGAAAGTGAGAGATAATAACACATTACAAAACTGTGGTAAGACCGCGGAAGTGGCGCCCTACCATTATGCGTCTTGGAACGAACGGCGCGTGAACTTGGTTGAGGTACAAAGTAGAAAAGGTAGCGGGTTATGGTATGTTATGGTAAATAAGGCATTTGAATATATTTTTTCATCTTCATCATTTCAGCCATAGGACGTCTACTGCCGAACATAGGCCTACCCCAATGGTTTACATTGACCGACTGAGAAGGTGGACCGGCGACCTCATAAAAGTAGCAGGAAGGCGCTGGATGAAGGCCGCTATCAACCGGTCATTAACTATATTCATTCAAGAATTATGAAATAAATTAATGACAATTTAAGAAAAAGTTTTATCAACATTTTTTTTAATTGTTGTAAATACTAGAGTCGAAAAGTTTAGCTGTCCTTTTGCATTTACTCGAATTAAAAAAAAAACAACCTGATAAAATCGATTAGCAATGGTGAGAACTAAAGTCTTAAATGAATTGCTTTTCATAATTAAATAGATTTACTAACACAAACAATACGATTGTTTTGTTGTCTATTTAATCGTTCCCGCTCCCGCTTCCGCTCATGGCTTGTGCCCTCCAGAGAGAGTGGTAAGCACATTACGCCCGAGTTTCGTAATACGCGACGCTTAGCGAATACCGATTCTCTGCTAACCTTCTAGTGGACAGGATCCTAATGACCTGATTTCCCTTTGGCTGAATGGTTGTGGATCTATAAGATTTAGTTTTAACTCAGTTTGGTTGGTTGTGGAGTTAGAGCGGTTTTTTTATGCATATACAGGGTGAAATTTTGTAATGCCACCAGTTATATTTCTTTTCCTAAATTAAGGAATGTTTCCTTTGAGTAAAATTTTCTATCTACAGTATTAAGAGTACTTTCCCTCCAGGTGGCATTACAAAATTCCACTCTGTATATCAAGGCAGGCATTTGACCGTAATCGCGCTTGGTGTTAAGTGAGATGCAATCTAGGATGGCATATCTGCCCTGAAAGTGCCTATTCAGTCTAGCATTGAAAAGGCCCGGGTTATAGTGTTCGGGAAAGACAGAATACGTCAAAATATGGATCTAGATTAAGACTAAAACTACTTGAAGTCAGATGATGGAAAATGGATCCAGAGCGTAAACTAAAATACAAATAAGACCGTGTTATCACAGTTTTGGGTCGGATTTATATTCAAATTCTTTTTGTAAGTATGAAGGCCTTTTTAAGGGCACTTATACATGCCTCAAATATAGCTTGCCCTACCACCACTTCGGGACAACATATTATTATAATTATAATTATAATTTTTGAAAAGATAATTTATCAAGTCTTCTTAAATGGGTTATTCTGAAAAGATAGTAACCTACATAAATTAATGATTTTCAGTATTTACGACTAAAACGGTTAATCTATACGATGAATATGGTAATTTCGTAGCATTAACAATTGCTTTGATTTGGAAAACAGTAACTTGTTATTTTTATACAACACTTCTAGGAAAAAATAGTTTTTCGTGTATGTATGTAATTACATCGATAGTGGAAATATCAATTACTGTAAGGGACAAAACACGACTTTTCAGGAGAGCCAAAAAACGATTTTTTTTTTCTTTATACCTCAATATCTTTTTATGTGATGTTACGATTTAAATAGTTTCTATGGCAAAGTTTCTTAGAATTTTCTGTTCTTTCATAATATAAACGCCAAATTTTCGAAAAATGGGTAGTTTAAAAGATAGCATGTCCCTTACATTAAAAAAACGAGCTTGACTGTACCTTACAATGTTGAAATTTCACAGTATGGAATGTCATGTATGTTGTAAGGTACATTTAAGAATAAACACGACAGTAATATTATTGTAACTTGACAATTTTAACATTGAAACCTGATGTAAGTAGAGGTTGCATTCGAGTATTCATTAACAAAACGAAGAGAAGAGATAGAAACAAGACAACTTAGTGTTCACAAATGCAGTTGGAGGCATCAAATACACATCACCAACAAAACATTTAGTCACTGATGATGCCTACGTCTTCATTTGTGAACAAGTTGTCTTGTTTCTATCTTTTTCTGTTCATTTTTACGCAGTTAGGTTTTTTTTTCAATCATCGTTCGTTCGTTTTAGCCGAATGACGTCCACTGCTGGACAAAGGTCTTCCCCCAAGGATTTCCACAACAACCGGTCCTGCGCCGCCCGCATCCAGGCACCTCCTACAACCTTCACCAGATCGTCGGTCGACCTAGTGGGGGTCTGCAGCACATTACGTCTTCCAGCTCGTGGTCGCCACTCAAGAATTTTTCTGCCCCAGCGGCCATCAGCTTTGCAAGCTACGAGCTCCATCCACTGCCACTTGATTTTAGCGATTCTGCGGACTATGTCAGTCACTTTGGTTCTCCTGCGGATCACGTCATTTCTGGTTCAATCACTACGAGCATAGCACGCTCCATCGCCTTTGACCTTGAGTCTTCTTATGAGGCCCACAGTAAGCGACCACGTCTCAGATCCATAAGTTATCAAAGACTTTTGTCTTGAGACAGTGCGATATTTCAGACGTGAGAATATCACGAAGCTTCCTGAACGTTGCCAGCCGAGTTGGATTCGACGATTGACCTCTTCCTCGAAGTTAGACCTACCTAAGGCTGGTTTTAGTGTCACGCAGACCGTCAGTGCGGATCGCTCCGCACAGCCAATCTGTATGAACTGATAGGGAGCGAGCGATTCCTGCGGACCGCATTACTCTAAAACGCTTCCTCGAAGTTTACAGATCGGCTGTGTGAAGCGGATCCGCACTGGACGGTCCGCGTGACACTATAACCAGCCTAACTGGACTGTTTGTACTAGGTACATATAAGTGTCAACAACTGCCGAGTGTAGAGTATCCAACCTTTAGAGGAGTGGGTGCAACACGGACATTTGACATGATTTTGTCTTGTCCATGTTTCATTTTAAGACCCCCTTGTTGAGAGGCTCGACTCAGGCCATTGTGCATTGTGCCTAGATCTTCCACGGTCTCAGCCATGGCTATGATATCGTTTGCGAATCGAAGGTGGGTTATTTACTCACCGTTGATATTTATGCCGAATCCGTTCCAGTCCAGAAACAGTTTCGGAGTTTTCAGTTCCCCCTGTCTGCTGCTGCAACTGGTTTCGAGTCTTGATCCTGGAGACGGAACGACATTGTGGCGTTTTCGTACAAGCCTTTCAACATTTCGATGTATCGATATAGGTAGTCAATTTGACACCGTTGGAGAAACTGTAGTAGGTACTGCCCAGGTCTCGATCGAAGCTTTCTCATAGTCCACAAACGCCAGGCAAAGTGACTGACTATACTCCTCGGTCTTCTGTATAATCTGCCGTGGCGTATGTATGTGGTGTACTAAAGCGATTGAGAGATTGAGAGGCTGGAAGTCATCGAGCTTACGAGCGAGACGATTCGTAATGACTCTCGAAAACAGCTTGTAGACATGGCTCGGAAGTGAGATGGGTCTATAATTCTTCAACAAGGTTTTGTCGCCTTTTTTGAAGAAGAGTGTCACCACACTTCTGTGCCATACCGTAGGCGTTTTTCCTTCGAGGATGACGGAATTGAACAGCTTCTGAAGAGCCTTCAGCCCCTCGGTCAAAAACCCAACTGCGTAAAAATGAACAGAAAAAAGATAGAAACAAGACAACTTAGTGTTCATTAGTGTAGTAGGAGTGGGAGGCATTAAATGCATATCACCACCAAAAAAAGTAATTGATATCCTATATGCATATTAACGTAAGGGCCTAATTATAATAAATCAAAAAGTTTTAAATGAAGTAAGGTTCAATGAGTTCAAAAGTTAAAACCAACAGTTTAGGGTAAGGGCTGAATTGTATTATTAAAAGGAATTTACGTCCTTTAAATCATTTGTTTCCCCAAAAGTCGTATTCAGACGACTAAAAATGTTTAAGGTAAGGGACATTTTTTTAAAGATATCAACATTTCAAGTATACCAATCGATAGAGCCGAAAATTCTGAATGCGTTGGTATATATAACTCATTTTGGCCAAAATGTCCCTTACATTAATTGATACTTCCACTATCGACATATTCAAATATGTAACATATTATGTTATAATTCACGTCACAAACCATTATAGCACGTGGTATTTTGACCACTTTCTCGTTCGATTGTTGCATGAACAAAATTAATTAATTAGTCACCAGTTAATTGCAATCATGACATCATTGTTAGTTACATAATTAGACTGTTAATTAATACTTTTCATTAGAAAGGACTCTTAATTTGAACCTGTAGTTTAACGATGTGCATCTAATTTGTTCCCTTTTAAGCTTACATAATGAAAATAATTGAAATTAATCATCATCATCATCATTTCAGCCACAGGATGTCCACTGCTGAACATAGGCCTCCCCCAATGATTTCCATATTGGCCGGTATTAAAATGAATAATTTAGTTAATTTAAAGTATAATATTTAATGTAACAGCAGTGTTAATAATAAATGCTGTGTATATAAATGCTTTGTCCAATAAAATAACGGTTTAATTCATAAATATAAATTAATAACGCGTATCATGTTTATATCTACTAAAGTTGTGTGTTTGACAATATTGTAAAATTATTGTGTGAATATTCAATAATTTAGTCTTTAAATTATATCGTGTATTTTTAATTGTCTGTTTTTGTCGAGTATTTACGAGTATATTTACAAATGACACATGCTTCTTATGTTTATTATTAATTTGAGTCCGACTACACACGTTGGCCCCAAGTTCACTCCAACGTTTGGATCTAGAAAACAGTTTGTGTAGCCAATATTGGTACCAATGTTATTTTTTAGACCCACACATTGGAGAGATGTTGGAACCAATGTTGGGGCCAACGTGTAGAGCAGGTGTAACAACACTGCAAATCCCGCACTTAAATTATCTACGTAAGTTTTAGACGCCCTGTATTTGAATTGCCAGCCATCTGTAAAATTGCAGTTTTCCTCCATCGTTAGAATGCATTTGGACTGCAAAAGTTATGTAATTGACTGCAGTTTCTATTCTGACAAATTAAGGCCCGCTTTTGAATAGCACTTCAATATTTTTGTTAGATCTTTTGCCTTAAAAAATGTCTACGAACATTTTTAAAAATATGTTCTTGAAAAAAATACACTTGGATTTGGTTTTGATAAGTTCAATGTATCTGTTGCTAAGAGCATTCGTACGATAAGCGAAAGGTCATGCGTTCAATTCCCGAAAGAGGCAAAAGATTTTTTCAAGTTCCCAAAAATTCAATATTGAATTGGCTAGCTGGCATTCCTAATGCAATTCGCCATGGATTCAATTCCAAACTAGAGCAAAAACTCAAGTTCTAAAATCAAATATTACTAGCTATCATTCTGAATGCAGGTCGCCTATTAATACCTACAAAATACAGGTCGCCCAAAGAGAGTAATAACTCAAGTTCTAAAAAATTAAATATTGCAGGCCGAATGCAGGTCGCCTATACCTACAGGTCTACAAAATATAGGTCGTCCAAATACAGGTCGTCCAAATTACAGGGCATCAAAATACAGGTCGTCCAAATACAGGTCGTCCAAATACAGGTTGTCCAAATACAGGTCGTCCAAACACAGGTCGTCCAAATTACAGGGCAACAAAATACAGGTCGTCCAAATTACAGGGCATCAAAATACAGGTCGTCCACTTACTTGCATTATGCACCACCGGCGCAACCTCGCTCGGCCTCTCTGTCGTGTCTCTGTCCACACAGCAGGCCCAGATCATCCCTCCCGAACAGAGGTCCATAGGCTTCCCTCCTCCGAGCACGCAGGATATGCTGAGACCGCAAGGGTAGCGGGCGCCACGGTACCGACAGGTCTGGGGTATCACTGGAAAGAAGAGACGGGGTATGAGAATGGTTGTAAGAGATATCGAGGAAAGAATTTGGATAATACCTTTTAAACAATCATATTGTGGCACCTTTTTCGGGTGATGGTTGTTTTGGCAATACTGTGATGTTATGTAACTATGAATTACATTGTAATGAAAAGAGAAAAAGCAGTTAATGTTTGTGACTCGTATGCGGTTGAGGTTATTTTAAAAAAGAACAAATATCGGGTGTACCGTTCATTGAATGAGTAAACATCAAGTTAAGCAGCTCGAACTGTGTGAAACTACTGAAACTTTATACGACTAAATCTTAAAACTATCGGATTTTTCTTACAAAATAGAGACCTCTTAAGATCTCTAGTACACAATACTTGTACACTGAAATATTTACACATAATCTGAAATATTGTTCTACTTTCATAATAAATTATGTTAAATCTCTATCTCTAATCAATTCTAATGTAGGTCACAATCTGAGAGTCAAACAATATTTTTTAGTAGTTTTTTGGTCCAAACGACATAAATTTTATAGGTAAACCAATCTCTAGCATTATGACATACATTTGAAAACTGATACTGATGTGTATAGTGGACATGGAGACAGTACTAAATATAAACTGACGTATAAATTATGATAAACAACCAATTATATAAAGCAAATACCTACTACTACCTAAATACTTCAGAAACAGGGGTCTTTCTTTAGTATTTAGTACCTATTGTTTTAACAGTAGGTAGGTACGAAATAAATAAAGCCGAGTGTTAGTATGTCTACATAATTATGCGTGCGGTTCGAGCACACATATACAGGGTGTTGCGTAAATGGGGATATGAGCCGACACTAGCCCATGTTAACATGGGCATATAAATGGTATGGTGAAGTCAGAATATTGATATCACCATTTTTTTCATACAAAATAAATTTTATAAATTCCGATTTGGATGAATATTAAAATAATTAAAATAGAGATAGCAATTTTCTGACTTCACCATACCATTTTATGTCCATGTTAACACGGGCTAGTGTCGGCTCATATATTTACCTAACACCCTGTATACTCCACTTGCTTGCATGTAAACGACTAAATAGATTACGAGTATAAAGGGTTACAAAGTTAGAGATCAATAACTCAGGATAGCTTGGTTAGTGGTAAAGTCCACAAAATGTCAGACTATATTTTATTGCTACCTACAAACTTATGTGATAATAACAACATAAAGTGCCACGGTACTTAGGTGCCCTCGTCTTAGGGCTAGTTCCCGGGATATTCGTGTGAACATTAATATTAAAACACGTTATAATAACGGGATCCTTTATAAAATCAGTTTCAGCAAAAAACGGGATATCTCCGTGGTAACAAGCCCTTAAGAGTCTTTGCCACAAGCACGAGTAATCAGTTAGTTGTAATTACCCAAGATTTACTACGAAACTTCATTTAACGCGTCAATGGCACGCACTTGACCAACATTTGTAGAAACATTAGCAAAAACCAAACAAATGTTCTTGTTTATCACTAGTCTTTACATCGTTTTAATCAATCATCAGGTTAATAATGAAAGAGGATAATTGAAAACTATTAGAGATTTTTAAATGAACGAGTAGCTTTAACTGTGCCTGCAACTGCGTGCGCGTGATTTGTGTGAATATACTTAGTTTGAATAATATTTCCCGTATAAGCAACATTTTTCTTTACTGCTCCGCCGTCCGCCCCTATTGGCCGTAGGGTGATGTTATATAGCCTAAAGTCTTCTTCGATAAATGGGCTATTTATTTATTTATTTATTGACAAAGATCTACCAACAACACATCTTTACCCAAAAATATTTTTTCAAATCGAACCAGTAGTTCCTGAGATTAACGCGTTCAACGAACAAATTCTTCCGCTTTATAATATGTACTAGTATAGATGAAACAGTAGTGTAGGTACTTAGTGTACTTCATTAAATATTTAGAATTGTATTTAAAAGGTTTGCTTTGCCCATAATGTGAAAAAGTACACTAACGTCATCTAAGTAATCACAAACTAAACATACTATGTATCTATCGAGTACATAAATTAAAACTTTTTAAAATAAATACAAGCGTAAAAACAATATTAGTTTAGTATAGCTTATTTAAAAACCAACAAGTAACTAATTGTTCATTAATGTAACTTCCTATTCGTGTAACAAGTGTACCTATTTGTAAACAATGATCATTATAAGTAATTAATACAATATTAGTTTAAACTATTAAAAGTTTTAAAGTAATTTAGCTGCAACACGCGATGACGCAACGCTTAACGTATTTGAAAGAAAGAAAGAAAGAAAGAAAGAAAGAAAAAATATTTATTTGGTACTAAAACTATATTACTATTATAAATGGTTTGGTACTAAAACTACATTACTATTATATTACTATTAGAGCAAAAAATATATTAATAGTGCTATTAATATTATAAGCAATTTAGTTTAAACAAAAACTACTGAATCTATGCGTTTCATTACTTAAAGCCACTACATAACGATAGTGGAAGTATCAATTAATGTAAGGGACATTTTGGCCAAAATGAGTTATATATACCAACGCATTCAGAATTTTCGGCTCTATCGATTGGTATACTTGAAATGTTGATATCTTTAAAAAAATGTCCCTTACCTTAAACATTTTTAGTCGTCTGAATACGACTTTTGGGGAAACAAATGATTTAAAGGACGTAAATTCCTTTTAATAATACAATTCAGCCCTTACCCTAAACTGTTGGTTTTAACTTTTGAACTCATTGAACCTTACTTCATTTAAAACTTTTTGATTTATTATAATTAGGCCCTTACGTTAATATGCATATAGGATATCAATTACTTTTTTTGGTGGTGATATGCATTTAATGCCTCCCACTCCTACTACACTTATGAACACTAAGTTGTCTTGTTTCTATCTTTTTTCTGTTCATTTTTACGCAGTTGGGTTTTTGACCGAGGGGCTGAAGGCTCTTCAGAAGCTGTTCAATTCCGTCATCCTCGAAGGAAAAACGCCTACGGTATGGCACAGAAGTGTAGTGACACTCTTCTTCAAAAAAGGCGACAAAACCTTGTTGAAGAATTATAGACCCATCTCACTTCCGAGCCATGTCTACAAGCTGTTTTCGAGAGTCATTACGAATCGTCTCGCTCGTAAGCTCGATGACTTCCAGCCTCTCAATCTCTCAATCGCTTTAGTACACCACATACATACGCCANAGTCAGTGAGTGACAAAATTAAGTAACTTTGACCCGTTATAATTCTTAAACTACTGGTTCAAATTGAATGAAATTTTAAATATACCGTGTCTTTACAATGCCTGCATAGCTAATGAAAATTCAGCCTTCTAGTTTTATCCACAACGAAGTTACAGGCGGTCGATAATGGCCTGAATTGCTTCGAGAAAAGGATGGTACGGCCGTGCCGCTTTTTTGCTCGACTTGGTGGGGGCACTGCCGTGCCCCCAGATAAATAAGTAGGTAGGTTGCCATAAAGTTACACTTAAAAATGCATAGGCTGACATGGAACTAGTAAATTTTGATTATGTATCTTTTTATAGTAATTCTACCTACAGTCTATTTCATTACCGTTATTAGTTTAAGAAAACACCCGGCCCAAAACCTTTTTTCTTGATCTCAACTAAAAATTAAGTTCCACGCTAAAAATTTTCAATGTAGAGCCCACGTACCTTCTAATATTATACCCGAAAACATATCAAGACAAAAATAAAGTCGACATCTCGACATCCAATTTAATATCACGAAATGTCATCTATCGAATTACCGATAAATAATACTACAGTAACCCGAGAGCGTTGCGATTCGGCATCGCGAAGACGTAGCAACGTTTGATCTCAAACTGTAGGGTGTTCGTAAGACAAGAGTGGGGCTATTAAACGGGCGGTGTAATGATTTTATTTGTTGGTGAATTATTTTTCATGTACCCACTTAAGATTTTTTTCAGTACAATTTTGAAAAATATACTGAAATAACAAATGAACTGTGACAGTAAGTGAGTGCCTGGACCATGGAATGTTCGTTCAGCTGTGTTAGTCGGCTTTATTGGTTTGTGAGATTATCAGTTAATGGAGGTGACATTAATTATACCATACACACTCGTACAAGAAGGTTATAAAACTTTTTTTTTAAACTATCAAGCATCCTTCTATAAATAAACGCAAGCGTTTATTGTTCAAGTATTAACAGAATATTACTTTTTAAATAAAAAAATTTTGAAACAAGGCCTCAAAATGTTTTATGCATTGATTCGAAAAAAATACGGATAAAAAAAAATATCAATTACCAATACCGACAGCACATTTTTATTTTTGCAAAACAGCACCTATTACGATTACATAGAATGCCATATTGTTAAACTTGATATGTCATAATTATCTCTCTCGCCTATTTCGTGGCTTCACTCGTCCCGATATTGTCCGCGCCTAGCAACGCGAACTTCAGCATCTCGCTCCAACTTGTTCAGCGGAAAATTGCGATCATATCAATCCAACTGTAATTATATCTGATGAAACGTGGGAATCAGTGAGATGAGTATGTTGAAGCTATAAAAGTTTGGGAAATATCTTGTTAAAAGATACAATAATGAGGTTATTCAGGTTAAGACCAAAGTAATGAACATAGGACGTCCACTGCTGAACATAGGCCTCCCCCAATGATTTTCAACAAAGGCCGGTTGGTAGCGGCCTGCGTCCAACGCCTTCCTGCTACCTTTATGATGATGTCGTCGGTCCACCTTGTGGGTGGACATCCTACGCTGCGTTTTCCGATACGCGGCTTCCTCTCCAGAACCATGCTTGCAGAGACGATGGTGATGATGATAAAAGTTTAGATTTTTTATGTTTGGTTACGCCGCGGCGCCGTATTGACGACCGTGGAGGTCAGACTCAAAAAAATCTAACCTCCTAACAAAAACGCCGAACGAGAGGTTAATCCACTTTTACAATAGTGTTGTAAATTCAGATTTGAACAATACCCCTAT